CGTGCTTGACAGGATGAGCCAAGTTATTTGATAATCGCAACACCAAACTACCTCCAGACAGCACAAAAAGGAAGTTCTATTTAACAAATAGGTGGAGACAAAATGAGCTAGAGACCCCTAACAATAGGTATGCATTTAGTTCCATACTTATGGTAGGCAAAATGGGACAAGATAAACTCTCTTTGGTAGTTGGTATGCTCAGCTTCCTGCTGTCCATTAATCCACAGTTCACAAAAATTAATACCAGGTTCTAGTGTAAAAAAGACCATCTTGGCAAGACTTGAATGAAGTTATAAACTCAATATTAGTGTTAATGAGTCGAACATCACTTAGTAAACCCAAACAATTATCAGCAACATTGTAACCAAAAATAGAGTGTAGATGCTTACAACACGAGCATTTTAAATGTTTATTTCTAAATCTATAATTCCAATACTCCATTGGCCATCACAGGATTAGACATTCATGGTAACAACTTTAATACATCTAAAAAAGTCCGCTTCTCTGAGCATTAATCTGAAGCACTCAAATTCAACCAAATATCGTCATCCATCATAATAGCTAACTGCAAACATATCTCATGATAGTCAAAGAAAATACAAATAAAACTACCTCATTAAAGCAACAACTCATCACATTACCCCCAAAACACACACATACACGTGTAAGTAAATTAACACTCACTGACTTACATAAATATCATTAAGAGCATATCTTCTCTCAAGATTGTAAAGCACTCCAGGCTCATTCAAATACGTTAACTTTGTCATATCATCAACTCCTCCAAGCTCCTCATCCTCGTCCGCATCTCTCAGAAACAGCTTCTCCGGAGAACTCAAAATCTACAAAACTCGCGCCCAAAGCATCAAAACGGCAACATATTGCCACCAAAACAAAACAAGTTATTAATAAATAAAAAAGAGTACTACCTTTTTACCAGAAGTGGTTACGACTTGGACTTGCTTGCCTATAAAATCAGTGATTTCAGCAGCGACCCAAGCCAAATTCTTGTCTCCCACCCATACTTTAGAGCCTTTGCGAAGATTCATCTTCGCTTGCTCTAAAATTCCGGCAGTAGAGAAAACGAAACCCTAGAGATTGAGAACAGAGAGAGCGTGAATTTGAAAATTCAAAATCAAAGCAAAACCCTAAGAAAGAAAGAGAGAGAAGAGAAAGAGAGGAGAGCGTGTGTGTTTGGTTTGGGTGAATATTTGGGTTCCCGCCCTAACAGGTGGTGTAGAATAGCAGTCAAATTTGGCGAAACGTAAGGGGTATTTTGTATCGTATTCGACACGTCACCATCTCATTTGGATTCATTTCTTTTCTTGCTTTCTTTTTTTTCACTTTTCTTTCTTTATTTTCTCGCTTTCAGCACCACTGCCTCTGAATTACATAATTTTGAATGCACATGTACATCATAATTGAAAGCTACTATTCCTGATCACTGACTGTTTGGTTGCTGAGAAAATGTAAAAAAATTTCTAAATACGCATCTTAATTCCACCAAAAATAATAATTAAATTTAAAATTAAGTTCAAAATTAAAACAACAAAAATGTGTCAAGTTCAACTAATCAAATTTCAATGACACCATGCATGATTTAACACAGATTTGTAATTACTAATTACAAGAAACGTGACAAAAAGAAATTATTATTTTTTTGGGATGAAAGAAAAGTTTAAAAGAAGCTAACGGTAATTACCTGAAACTGAGGAAGATAGATCAAATATTAATTAAATGGGATTTGGAAGTACTGGATGGTGAGATAGAAATAAATTGTAAAGTTTTTGTTCTGTAATTATGGAGATATTAAGAGGAAGGGTTTATAACAAGTTCCTCCTCCAGGTTTGCGGAAAGTAACAAACACACCCAAAAATTGATTACTTTGCCATACAAAGACTATAATACCCTTCGGCTAATTATAAATTCTTTTCGGTTTTTATTTCTTCATTTTTTTTTTAAATATAAAAAAAAAAATGAAGAACTAAAACGAACAAGCAAAAAAGAATCTAAAACTTTGTTTCAAAAAAGACTGATATATTCTTTATCTTATTATACTTCACTTCACATTTCATGCTACTCAAATTTTTAGTATAGAATTTAATTAAATTTAAGGTTTAAATTTTAAAATTAGATAAAGGATATTAGGGTAAAGTAATCAATTTTCGGGGTGCCATTTTTACTATCCGAAACCCTTGCGTGTGACCTTGAGGAGGAAATTACGATAAGCCGTTAATGTCCCTATCAGACCATTTAATATGATTAAAGAAATGCCACGGTTTTGAAAGAGACAGAATGGAAGTTAAATTCGTAATTAATAATTCGGTAATGTTGATTCGTTTTTGTCACCCAACATTCACGGCTACCAAACAAACGAAGAAACTTCCGCTGCAATTAAACATGAATTCAAAAATGTTTTAACTTTTCTTATAGCTTAGGATAAAGTAAAGGGTAGTTTGGTCCACTTGATAAAGTTCCAAAATAACTTGGCTTTGGCACTCCGCCCTACACTCTCTGAGTGCGTGTGAGTGCCCTGGCTGATGCTGCCCGGGACACTAGTGACATGGGATTGTGTGGCTTCAAATTTCGAAGCAATGATTAGTTGGACCGCCATGGCACGGAACATTGGATGAAGTGGTTAAATTGGGCCGATAATGCTATCAGACCTGGCCCATGTAACCATGGACTATTTATATGACTTACTCGGCTTTTCATGAAGCCCGGACTATAATTTAGAATTCACCCTAAAATTACACAACTGAGGAACCTTCAATTGACAATGACATGAGCCATTAGAAGCTGTAATGACTCAAGCTAAACCTAATGGAATAAAAACATAAAAAAGAAAACATAATGACAAACTCTAAAGTGATGTCAAATGTGTTTTTAATTACATTTTTTAAAAGGTTGCCGTTTTTAAAAGAAATACAACCTTATTTCCTTAAACCATTAGTTTATCTAACTGATTTGATGAATGATCGTTTGTCAAAACATACTAATAAGGGGGTATTATATCACTAAGGGAATCAAACTCTGATACCAACTAATAGAATTTGATGCTTACTACTAAGCCAAAAATTATAACTTAAAAAAAGATATGTAAACCACTAATCATCCGAATTGGAAAAGTTCAACCATACATCTTCCATAGCACAATCAGAAGTTTACTTTATTGGACCAAAAGAAGGGATTCCAACTTAGTTGGGCTCACTCTACTTATTTTTCTCTTTTGATTTGGGCTATAAATATAATGTGGCTTAACAATATCATTCATTACTTGGTAAGTTAAAACCGTCATAAAAGATGTGGCAAAAGAAATTGGATGCTTGTTTCAATACCGTAGGTAGTGCAATATAAAAGACCTTAAACTAAATACAAGCATTATTTTAAAACTTGACCCGTTTGAGACTCGACAAGGTGATTGGATCACGGGTCGATCGATCCAACCGATTAGTCTAATGACGTCAACAACAAAAGCATTTCATAAAAATTACATATTAGTCTCTTTAATTTTAGTATATATATAACCCCAAAAATTGCAAAATAGTCCTTAAAATTACTTAACCCAAAAAAAGTCCTTAAATTTTTAATTTATTTTGAAAATGGCTGAAAAATTTCTGAATGAGTCCCTAAAATTTTGAAATGATATAAAACACCCCTATAAATTTGAAATATAACAGACCCCTTTGGAACCTTAATCGGACCGGGGAGGCTGCTAGGTCCCGATCGTACCGGTCCAACCGGCTGGTCCGGGTTTTAAAACAAAGGCATGATACAAGTAGTCGATCAAGATACATAAATTTCTTAATCTGAGTTTTAATAGTAAACAAGGGTGATAGGCAAGTTACCTGAAAACGTGGTTTTATCGATCCATTTAACATTATCGGAGTCTGAGGGCAATTGAAAGCTGCATGAAGTGAAAGTAAAGTAGTGAACTGAAGATAATAACGAAAAGAGAAGTAAAAAAAGCAGGAATGTTTTGTGTTTTGTGTTTTTGTTTTGTAAATTCATATTTAACAGGAATGGTTTGGCTATTTATAAAAGCCATCAAGTGAAAATGGTGAAACGAGGAGCCAATAAATTAATTTAACTCCCACTGAGATTCTCCCAGATGTGTGCCATTAGACTTGCAAATAGTGAAACAAAACACATCCGTTACACAACCAAAATACCCCCTTTTTATAATTTAATTATTTTTCAGAGTTAATTATAGTCACATTTACCAACTCCTCATGTTTAAAAAAAATCAATAAATCTCACATATTATTTATTTACTAAATAATTAAAAGTTTTACCAATACCCTTTTAATAATTAACTAAAAATATATATATATTTTTTTTAACAATAAGTGGTATAATAAAACTGTGTGCCTCTAATTACCGATACTATATGATAACAATACTCTTCTAATTATTTTTTTCATTTTCTCCAATTATTTACATAATGGACTATAATTATCTTTGCATATATACACACACATTACAACTTGAATTTTGCTGATATTATTTAGGAGTTAATAAGATAACAGTTTCCTTTCAACGAGATGTAGATAGAGTATAGAACAATTAATAAAAGATTGAATCTTCTTTAATATAAAAATTGATATGGTTTCATTCCAATAACATTATGGAACCTTAAAATTGATTCCTTTAAAACCCATAAATTAATATAAGAGTAGAATAAATGCATTTGTTGTAATTAATAAAAATTTAGGTGAGATTTAATAATGAAATGGGTGGGGTCCAGCTCTAATTAATAATTGGTTAAGTTTAAATTCGCCTAACTATAAATTTAAGCCAGAATCCTCTTGACAAATTCAAGGGAACATATCTAAAATTTAATTTGTTGACAACTCCCCTAGATACTCCTCATAATTACATTTTGTTTTCTAGCATATTATAATTAAATTAACCATAGTTTAAATTAAATTAAATTAGCAAACCCCATTAGCTTAATTGTTCCAAAAAAAAAAAAAAATCAAATCAAATTGAAATTGAAGATGGGAAGAAGAAAGTTGACAATCAAGAGACTTGAAAGTATGAAAGCAAGGCAGACAAAATATTCAAAGAGAAAAGTAGGATTGCTGAAGAAGGCTAAAGAACTTTCAGTGCTTTGTGACACTGATTTAGCCCTTCTCATGTTCTCCCCCACCGGAAAACCATCACTCTTTATTGCCCACAACAAGTATTTTTTATTTTTTCTCTTTTTCATTTTTTATTTTTTTCATTAATCCATCTGCAATATCTTGCTTAATGCTTTAATTATTTGATTGCAGGGATCTGAGCAATGTGTTGGAGAGACTGTCAAAATTGTCTGTTGAAGATCGTGAAGAGAGGTAACGTAATAATATTGAACTGATTATAAGGTTTACAAAGATTACGAATTAATTTGTGTTTTGTGATTTTGTCCAGCAGGAGAGGCTACACTATGAAGGTAATATTGTAATCTATAATATCTTAAGCTTAACAAAGATACTGTAATCATATTATTTAATTTTCAATATCCATTTAATTAATAAGTGTAGAGCATTTATACCATTAATTGAACAATGGTTTGTTTTTCATGTGTTTTGATATATTTTTTTTTTATTATTATTATCTGGGAAATTAAGTTGTTGAAGAAAATATATGCCAACTCTGACATTGATCCAAGAAATTTCTCACTGGACAGGTATAGATTTTCTTTCTGTTTTGCATTTGGAACTTGCTTCTTTCTGCATAAACTCTATTAACTTATTTTTAATATTTATTGCAGAAATGATGCACTCAAGGTAGAATTCCTCACTTGGTTAGAACCATGAAATGGAAGTCCATTAATTTTTTTTTTTTTTCCCTATCGAGTAATAAAATTGTTTGGGAATGTCATTAACATTCTAATCATTTGTGTAGTTGCACGAAGATCAGCTTAGGGAGCTGAAACAAAAACTTGCTGAGAAAAGCAGAATATTGAGGTTTTTTATCAGTCAATTTTCACTCAAATCTACCTTTATCATTTCCAGGGTTTTTATTTATTTAAAATCAAGTATACAATTTTGATTTGCCAGGGAATGGAAGAATCCACAAAATGTGAAGGACCTTGCACAAATCAAAATTATGGAGGAGCATCTCATGGGTTATCTTAATAAAATCATATTTAAAAAGGCATGTCAAATCTTTTCTAGACTTGATTTCTTGTGCCTTAACATTATGAGGCTTTGCTACAGGCTTGTATATATCAAATGACCCATTAAAGACAATAATAGTTTGACAAACTTCAACTAAATTATGTTCATTTTCAGAGACAACTGTTGCTGGAGCAGCAGCAGAAATTTGAAGCGCCTCACCAGGTTCCTTTTTGTTACTATCTTTTTTTGCATAAATTCTAGCAAATTTTTATGGCTATTGAAATTGCAAATAGAAAAGGTTGTCATAATTTATGAATGAAAAGTGATTCCTTAATTGCAGTCCAGTGTTTCAATAATCATAATTTCAAGCCTGCTTGGAGACTCAGTGTTAAGTGGTTTAAATATGCTAATCATAGATGGCACAAGCATCTAAAATTTACCCAGAATTTTAGATCTGGGTTCTCTTTTACCGGATGACGGATGGTATTTGCCTCTTTCGCAAATTGCTACTTTACTTGGGCATCATTTTTAGGTTTTCTAAATTATCAATTCTCTTGGTTAGCTGTATATATATATATATATATATATTGATAACTATATGTTCAGGTCAGTTTGTGTGTATCTTAATTAATCATCGAAGTCCATTAAACACCTTACAAGTCTAAAAGACCAAGTATATATATTATTATTTTCTTTTTTTGGTAACTATTGGTGTTCAGACCAGTTTGTGCGTACCTCAATTAATCATCAGGGTCTATTAAACACCTTATAAGCCTAAAGGACCAGGTTAGCCTGAGGTATTGCCATCCATAGACTACAAGCTAACATCCAAGTAATGAGTTATCTTGTTCATGCGTGCCATTGATTATTCATAGGATTATAATGGGTTTTTGTAATTCAATTTATGCTGATGAACATTATAGTTTGTAATTGCTCCAAAAACATCAATTACTTTGTACGTATATGAAACAGCTGACAGCAGAATTTAATTTGTGTGTAGGCATCTGAGGACCAGCAAATATAATAATACACTATTCTTCACAGCCTGGCACCCTCCTGGCTTAATCCTCGCAAGACATGCAAAGTGGCGCCATGTATCATTTATGGCTTCTATCAAATATAAATGATGAGCTTCATTTTGAATTATATTGACAATGCAACTGGCTTCCCATTTACTTTTGAAAATCCCCGAAAACAAATACCGAGACAATTCAAAATATAAAGCGAAACGGGTATAAAGAACTGGGTGAATTTTCGAATGTCGAAAAGGACACCCTTTTGCCTGGAATTCTGGGAATTGTTGTGACTTGTGATAGCATATTGATGATTGCTCAAAAAGATACTCCTACACAATTAAGGGGCCAGCAAGTAATTCAATTTTTCTTGAAGATGGGGCAGGCACAAGGCTCAAAGTTATAATAATTCATCCTGTGTTGTGGCCCCAGTGGAGTTGAATAATTGTTACATAAAACGCTAACCTCCATAAAGATTTTTGACATAAATTGTTTCAGAAAATATTCATGACACAGGCAAAGCAAGGAAATCTACTATGGGAACTATCAACATCCAAACAGATAAATGACTGATAAAAGGCCCAGCTGGCTAAGGCTTTCTCAGTGCTCAGTGCATTATTGATGCTCTCTCTCACTCACTCACGCATATAATGCACCCACATTGCAGAGCTCCTGCAACCGACCCCAACTCCTTAGCGCTCTGAATGTGTAAGTTTTAGCCCCACCAAGCCAGACCATTGAGCCAGTGGCAGTGGCCCCATCAGCCCTTAAACAAAGTGCCATAATTTTTCCATACAACTTACATTACATCAATTTTTGGTACAACCATCACCTTTCAAATTTATCTATAGGCAAATGCGTAAAAGTAGTTCAACTTTTTCTTTTTTAATATTTCCTCATTTAGCATTAATTGGTACAAAAGCTTTTATATGAACATTTCACATTAATTCATATCAACTTTCTCTCACTCTCCAATAATTCATCATCCATTCCTGGCACATTTTACCTATACATTTACCTTTACTCACTGTTCTGAGATATTAACTCGCCAAACTTTAGGAAGAGTTGGGCATCTGAGGTGCTCATTGATGGACAGTTAAGCATGTGTGGTGTCTTGAGATTTGCATACTCATCCTTGTAGCTAGGCATTTTGGTTGATGAGAGCATGGCAGCCGGGGTTGAAGTTGGTTGTTTTGGTGGTGTGGTAGCTGGCATAAGGCTCCCGAGAACACGTGTAATTTCATGCATGGTTGGCCGGTCTGATGGTTGCCTTTTTGTGCATAAAAGGGCTAGCTGAAAAGCCTTCTTTACTGCTCCAAGATCCTTGCATGTAGCAGTGATCTCAGGATCAACAGTTTCCATCACAGCATTGTTGGCTGTCTTGGATAAAATCTGAAACAAAAAAGGGTCAAAATGAAAAAAAACTAATTAACAATCAAGTCTCGTTTAAAATATAATGCAAAAAACATGCCGCTAGACACTGCCCACAAGAGGAACTCAGCTCATGATCTTCCCACTAATGGTGTCACCATTATACTTTAATTAACATATTAAATGGATAGAAGACTAACCATGTGATGGAGATTGGATTCATTATCCACAGCTTTCCTTCCAGTTATCAACTCAAGCAGCACAACCCCAAAGCTATACACGTCAGACTTCTCGGTCAGACGGGAAGTTCGAGCATACTCAGGGTCTATATAACCAATGGTACCCATAACGTAAGTAGAGGTATGCGATTTGGACACGCATAAACTTTTGGCAATGCCAAAATCAGTGAGATGGGCCTCAAAGTCTTTGTCCAGCAGAATATTAGATGATTTCACGTCCCGGTGAATGATTCGAGGACTACAATCATGATGTAAATATGCGAGGCCTTGCGCAGCTCCCAGTGCTATTTGAAGTCGAGTGTCCCAGTCAAGCTTTTTCTTCTTTGCAGGACCTGAAATGGAAACAACACAGAAAGAGTTCAGAATTCCAAAAATACATGTTCTCTTGCATGTAATCGTGTCCAAGTTTATAGTATATCACAAGGTTTCATCACCAACAGACAGCAGCATAGGGTTGATCGATATATCAAAATGACACAAACCTGCATTGAGTTGTACTCAACTATGTACATTTATTGATGACCCAAGGATGGGAGAAATATGTAAAACTGAAATATCACATTTCAAAAAGTGGATAGAAAACTCCACAACATGCAAAGACATGATATGTATAATAGTCGTAAGTCGTAACGCTCTAACTTACCATGAAGAAGATCCCAGAGACTTCCATTTTCCATGTAATCGTAGAAGAGAAGGTACCCAGAGGAGGACAAGGAGTACCCTTGCAAGCTGACCAGATTCCGATGCTTGATGCTCCCAATTGTCTCAAGCTCTGTCTCAAATTCCTTCAGGCACTGTGGATAGTGAGAATAGAGTCGCTTAATAGCCACTGGCTTGCAGTTTTTAAGAACGCATTTGTACACCGTGCTTGAAGCGCCATAACCAATTATATACTTCTCACTCAAATTCTCAGTCATCCTCATGATGTCTTCATACACATGAAGTGCCATATTCATGTGAAGGATCACTAACTTTGGTGTTGAGTAATTAACTGTTATTCCACAAAAGCAAAAGAATCAGTAATTTGGCACAATTTCTGATAGGCTGGATGATCAAATATGTCAAATTTATATCCATAAAGAAGAACTTTAAAATTATCTATTAATGCACACATTGACCTTATTTTACAGTCACCATATTCTGGATTCCTTTGCTATGGTAATTACCGGTTACGAACAAAATGGCTTAAAAAAAATTCAATTTCTGAGTCATTCTTCTACTCAGTAACTTAGCCAATGGGTCAGATATGGTAAACCATCCTCACTATTAGCCTGTCTACAATGTGCTGCATGCCAAAATAATGATTTGCACAGTTTTAATAAATAAGACAAGGCACCTGGTTTGTCAAGGGATCCATCTGGAAAAGGTGTAGGATTATATGGTCTGCATGCTGCCACCAGGATCATGAGAAGAATAACAAGTGCACCAAGCGCAATCCCAAGAATAGCTGCTTTTGAAATTGTAACTGTAAAGAAAACAACAAAAGGATAAATACTTTAGTACATTCTGCAAGAAGGATTGCGCTTTTGAAAGTAGCATTTTATCCCCAAGCAGCAAAGCAGACAATACTAGCTGCAGAACATATTTATATACGTTTACTTTTTAATGATTTGTTACTTGATCAAAACAACTGCAACTCACTAATATATGATACCAAAATCAAGATACAGGTGCTGCTTTTGCATTCAGTATTCTTGTGCTAGTAAGTTGTCATGGTATCAATAGATATAGTGTAATGACTGGTGCACAATCCATCAAGCCAAAGATTTACAGTTATATTAGGAGTTATGACAGTTTTTGGCTGCTTATCAAACTGATTGATGAGGTCAAAGGAATTGTCTCACTTCAAGTGATTGATTACCTCGCTCTGAAGGATGAGACTCGTGACATGGAGAATTCAGCCAATAGCCACAAAGAGCACGATTTCCAATGAAACTGCACATTTAAAGGTCAATTACATGAAAAGCTCCTTAAGAAAAAAAAATGAGCCAAGTTACAAACCCATAAAATAATGATGGATGGATTTCAGCTTTCAATTTTAAAAGTAGCAGTAAGAAATTCTAAACACAAAATCATTATAACCTGTCAGGCGAAAATCTTGAAAAGTTATTGCTTGTGGGAATGTCACCGGTGAGGTCATTATAAGATACATTTCTGTAAGAGTTCAATAAGAAGTTTGGCATTATTAGATCAATTTTAAATATCTTACAAGTCAAGCTAAATTGAAAAGAAAACAAAGGATTGTGAATGATAAACCCACAGGACAGCAAGACTGAGGCAGTTGATGAGTGGCATCACATCCCCTGATAAATTATTGTTTTCCAGCCTCCTACAATAATTTGCGCAAAGAGATAATTATGGAAACAAAGGCCACAAAAGTGGCAGGTGAACCATTAACAACTAGAACTCATAATCCACAAACTAATAGGAAACTATCACATGAGATGCCGGTATCATGTAACCCATGGAAACTAATATATTCACTATTGATGGCTTCCTTTCCTTTTGTTCATGAGATTGATAAATCAATACCGTTAGTTGACAAAACTGCACCTGTGCACTGTAAACCATTAAAAAATAAAGCTTTCTGAGTAAATAGTATGGTTGACCTTGGAAACCATAGTACTCTTAACAGTGTTTCGGTATAGGTCTTGTTAAATTCATCAATGCCATATATACTATCACAACAGAGCATCTACCATTGTTCAACCAAAAAAATTAGTAAGGTCGGAAGTGACAAGGTCACATTTATTAACTTACAAGGAGAAGATGTTCTGGAGCTGACTAAGTTCTTGAGGAATCACACCCGAGAGATGATTATGAGAAAGATCTCTATTATGCAAGAGCATGAAACATAAGTTAGATAAACCATTAAAAACCCAAAGCTAATAAATGCAGCAACAATTAAAGATTTCATACATTTCAATGACACTTCTTAGATTACCAAACTCTGCCGGAATAAATCCTGTTAACTGATTTCTGCTCAAATTCCTGAACCAAAAAATAGATGGCGTCAGCAAGCTGAAAGTCTTTGAAAAGCAGAAACCAATTTGCAGTAAAACTCACAGCTTTAGAAGATGTTCCAAATCACCAAGAGGAGAAGGAATTGAACCACTAATTTTGTTGTTGGAAAGGTCCCTGAAAAAAAGGAGAAGAATTAGTAAAAAAGGTGCATGTGAAAAGAAGGAATTAATATAGAGCAATGAATACTTACAGATGATCTAGATTACCAATACGAGAGAGCTCAATTGGAATAGAACCCCTGATATTGTTGGATGAAAGGTTCCTGATATATAAATAAATAAAATCCATGAATAACTGCATATGCATGATAAGAAAACCAAAAAGTAGGAAAAATATGTGTTTGTGTGCATGGACTATTCAAATCACAGAGAAATAAGAAAGGCAAAAATTAAGCTAAGATAGACTGGTGAAGGAATTCTCAGGCAACACAAAAAATACACAATTATTATAGCATGATAGGACCTGAGAAGTAAAAACATACAGAATAAAGTTCCATAGCACAAGCTCTAACAAATAAATAAACCAGAATA